GTAGGATAAGCAGGTCTGAAGTCTATGACTCCTGAGTGCAGGATTACTCAGGGTGCCATATGGTCTAGCCTAGAACCTCTTTCTAGGGCTGGGAAGACAGTGTGAAACCTGAGCCACATTGACAGTGTGAAGCCCAGAGAGGGTGCATGTCTCATAAGAGAATTAGTGAATGAATCAGTCATTAACTAACTGATCCCAAGCCTAGACCATTCTCAATAACAGAATGTTATTAATATTTTACAAAATCGCCTTATAATTTGTTCTCTGTTTTTATCTTTCTGTCCCTCTCTTAATCTATTCTTGATATCTAAATCAATTCAACTACACAACAAATGGCCTTTGCCTGGGTTTTTTATTTATCTTACACTTATGCTTTTATTCTATATGTCCAATGACTGAATATGCCAAATTTGATCCATCATATATCTATTTATGCTTATTCTATTTATTCATATTTTGATGAATACTTGGTCATTGTCTTCCTTAGTGAGGGGGAAAGAGAATGAAGGCTTTGTATCTATGGTGTTTCCTTTCATGTATGTGTTTATTTCATTTTTAAGATAATAAAAGAACTTAGAACTACAAAGTACCGAATCACAGTTTTTGTACTTAAAATGGTGAATTTGCCTCAATAAAAGCAGGACCTCTCAGTACTTTATAAGCATGTATTTACCATACATGCAGTGAGGTCCACCTGGACATGGGCCCTTCTAGCCATTCATTGCTAAACCAATGATCAATTCAATATATACATCTAGACATCTTTGGATCCACGTGCATCTGTGGACAGCAGCATTTTAATTTTCTATAGGATGTGACTTCTTTACCTTGAGAGAGTAAATTTTCCTCTGTCTTTTTTTGTAGTGTGGTGTTGAGCCAGTTGGTGTCATCTTCAGACAGTGCCAGGTCTCTCCATGGAGACCCTACCAGCTCTCAGGACAATTTATTTTGTCAACAATTTATTTTATCTTACAGGTTACTGACGTTCAAGGCCGTTGCCCAGATCTTCATCTTGGGCTGCTCCTGGGTGCTGGGCATTTTCCAGTTTGGCCCCATGGCAAAGGTCATGGCATACCTGTTCACCATCATCAACAGCCTGCAGGGGGCCTTCATCTTCCTCATTCACTGTCTGCTCAACCGCCAGGTATGAGCGGCTGCCTGCCTTGTACCCATTTCCCTGCATAAGCCACACACTGTGCATGCTTGTAGTAGACCAATTTCAATATCTAGGACTGCGGTGTGTGTGTGTGTGTGTGTGTGTGTGTGTGTGTGTGTGTGTGTGTG